AATTTTATAGTATTCATGTATTTATATTTAAATTTGTATTTGATTTAGATAAGTTTTTACTGAGTTGTACATATTGAGAAAAATTCCAAATAATTTTGGGTACCACTGTATCATATGTATACTATATACTGTAAATATACATGTATTTTAATTTTTTTAAAACAATAATATAACATCTAATATATAGAGTTTATAAATTCTAAAAATTTTAATAAAGATAATTTAAACTAGCACATAAAATAAAATAATAGAAAAAAAAAACTGGTAAATTGAAGGTTAGAAAAGAGATGAGAAAATAAAAAAATGAAATATATTAAAATATTTATTTAATCATCCATATTTTTATACAGTATTATGTATGAGCTTTACCATAATTACAGGAAATATATTTTCATAAGAAAATAATTTTTTATCTAAAATTAATTCGATAAATAACTTGAATTCATTTGATATATTAAAAATCAACATTTACGTATTTTAAAGTAGAAATATATATATATATTATCATTATTATTTTATATTGCGATTTTTGCGATTATAATACCGTAAATTTTGTTGCGTATTCTATTGTTTTTTGATTATCATTGATTTCGAAATAAGATATTAATAATAACATGCATTGGGAAAATCAATGTATTTTTTTTTTAAAAATGATTAGTAAGATTAATTAGCGAGGATGGTCTAACGAATAGGACTTACTGTAAATATTTTTAAATATTTTTTTCAAATATTGAAACTTAAAAAATTTACGGCGGCCTACGATGATTACAAATATCAAATATGATAAGATATTTACAAACTCATTCATTCTATGAAGAAAAAGAAATCCAAAGATACTTGCCTAATTCATTCTGTTGAGGAGCAATTAATGTTATTATCGAACAACTTGTGTTTCCGTTTTGTACAGTGAATAGGAGCTACCTGCATCGTTGGAGGCTTGTGCTTTCGTTTTGTACAAACGAGTAGGAACTATTTGCACATCGAAGCATCGTACAATAGTCTGTACAAGGTGCATGTAAAGATTGTTTGAAAGTCTTTGAGAGATTCACGAGTTGTAAACAACCTCATTCGGCGAAGCTTCCTCGAAGCCACCGAACGTTGGTAAAAGTGTGCGACTTCTACGGACATATCGATGACCCGAATTCCAGCATTAAGGCGTATATGTTTGTGTAGATCCGAAAGTTGAAAACCTTAAACTTTGTTAGACCGGTTCAAAACTTTACCGAAACGTATTCCCTTAACACCTCTTATGGTGTAACAAATCTGTATTCAATAGATAAGAAATAGGATTGTGGATTTGGCCGAAGTTAATAGAAAGAATTTGCTCAGGCTTCTGCGAAAACGGATTCATTTTTGACATGGCGTAAAATGCAAAGCCGATGAAACAGATGATGACAATGTGTGTATAAGGTATTCGAAATATTTTCTAATACGGAGAAATGATACCTCAATAGAATAATCCAAAATAAGACAACAATATTGTTGTTGGTGACGTTAAATGTAGTAAATTTCCAATTCACATTCCATTCTTTAACTCCCTATTTTGGAAACACACTAAATTAAGTGCATGCGTTAATTAAATGATTTGCCAAACAAAATCCTATGATGCCAAAATCCATTTATATTCAATAAGATGATCGGGCTCACGAAAGCATACGAAACATACGAAACATGAACAATACATAATCAACATTGTTATTATTCGTGTCGCAGTAACATTGTTTTTTCGTCAATTGATACAATCCTCGAGCATGCAACCGCCAAAGTGCATTTCTCAAATTCACAAAGAGTGTTATTTATAGGTAGACCTTTGAAATTTTGCTATAAATACGCTCAATCTTCTCCTTACTTTTTTTCCTCAGTTCAAACAAATTCTTGAAGAATTTAAAAAAATCCAGTTTTTTAACACTCGAAAACTTGCATTCTCAGAAAAAAAAAAAAAAATTTCCACCAACTTTTTTCTTAATAACAAAAAATCAAAAATGAATCCCACTATCATTTCTACCTCTGCTACTACCACCAGTGTCACAGAGAAACCCGCAGGCGGTGATCCAACTAACCAATGCTCCATAATGAAATCTCCCGGTTCTATCCTTGGGGTCACTGAGAAACCCGCAGGTGGCGATCCGACTAACCAATGCTCCATCATGTAAATCGAATTTACATGAGAAGTCATCCGCCGAATGTATAATTTCGATTCATTTGGAATCTTAATGTCAACGGGGTGGACTTTTTTTTTTATTTTCAAAATTTCGTGTTAATTCACTGGATTTTACAAATTATTTAATGCCTTAATTGTTACTATAGTATTTTAATTAAAAAAAAAAAAATCACACAATCCTTTTAATGTATTCTTTCTTTTTTTTCGGAGTATCTAGTATCAGGCATCTAGATATTTCTAATAAAATTCTGTAAACGTTTACTTTACCAATGAAAAATGCATCTTTGTAAGTGACACACACAATGTTTCTAATGAGTTTGAATTTGATTGATGCCAAAATTATGTATTTGCACAAAATATTGTATGTTTCTGAAAGACAACGGATACGTTACGATACCTGTTTAACTATTTCCTGCTTCGTGATCATATAACTATTTGCATGATGAAATAAGTTCAACTTTGATGATGATCCTTCTAGACCTTGAAACATGCAAAACGATGTGCTTATAATATGATCCGTAAAAAAGACAAACAAGTAGTGATATGGATTGTTAACAAAGAAACTTCCATAAAGAATCCTCATGATTCATTTTTTTCCTTCTACTCTGATGAGATGAGGGTCTGCGCAATGACTGTTGCTTATATATAGTACATAAATAATAGCCTGAATACTAAAAAGAAATTTCTGAGACACGGACGGATACAGGAGGCGCATGGTGCAGAAAAATCCCGAAATTTTTTATACACTTTACATTAAAAGAAGTTAAAAGTACAAGTGAAGTCCGCTATACTATAAGTATCGATAAATTTCCGTTGGGCGTTTTTTTTTTTTACATAGTTCAAGTCTAGTCTGGTTTAGTCCTTGAAAAGTCAGTTCATAAATTCAGTTTATAAATTCAGTTCAAATAACCGTCCCAATTAGGATCAGAACTTTAAAACTTTATTTATGCATTATACCATGTTTTGAGACAGGTGAGCACGCGCCCTTTCATTATCTGATCGGTTACACTGCACTTTAATAGTGCGCCTGTAAACAAAAAAAACCTGCTCACCAGAAATTAAATTGAGGATCATTTCGAATATATAGTGTTTACTGTATCGAATTCAATTCATCTTTAACATCTACTCGATATGTTCATTCAATTGATCTTTATATGCAGTGTCGGTTATTACCGGAGACCACTGCATACAGTACCCCTCACCGTTTTTTTTTTCATAGTGCGTCTCTTTTTTTTACCAAGTAACTTTTCGGGTGGAGTGATTAATACCCGGGTACCCGATGCCGTGGCCTACGGTATTTTATCATTGATTTTCCAACAACAGATCTTGATGAAAAATATCATATACCATATACAAAGATACTATTTCCTATATACGAAGATACTATATACCATATACCATACATGTTGCCAAGAGTTCGTAGATCCTTGTGAATATCTACCGTATAAATTTATACTGTATGTGCTATATACAGTATATGTCATGTATAGATGAAATCAAATTTGTCGATAATAATATACGGTGGTTTTTTGTAACAAGTTTTTCATATTGTAAGCATGATTCCTCCGGAATCCTTACGTAACGGAATGCGATGTATAGAATATGAAAGAATATTTTAGTTACGTAATATACACCTTATCACCATAACTTGAAAAGGTTTGCGTGCATATGAAATAAATTAGGTTAACAAAAATCCTCATTTATTCACAGAATTAAGCGGGGACAGAAGTTTGCCTTGTTTGGAAAAGGCGTTTTCCTGTTGCATTGTCTCGTTTTTATGAAATATATACACGTGTACATAATATGTTGACATACTTTTTCGCATGCGTATGAAGCAACCATGAAAGTTCATCATTTATCTTCACAAAGTTCATTGATGCTTTCTTTTATTGAAACCTTGGAGATCGCTCGAAATACTTTCTTTTATGCATGGATGGTATAAGAAGGTTTCTTTTTTTGATCCAGATCGATGACCCGTGATCTTGTGATGTCAGGTAAAATCTGATGGTTAACAAATGTCGGCGGTTTTTAAGCATACTTTGAAAAAGATAAAAAAAAAAAAAAAGTAATAATAAATTGTCCGTAAAAAGTGTCCTATTGATTATTAAAATCATTTATAATATATACTATATATATATATTTATAATTATAATATAGATAATACAAGTAAAAGGAAAAAAAGTATAATGCTATTTCTTATTAAGATGCGTGTTTGAGGGTGATTCAATAAAAAAAAAAAAAAAATGTTGTATTGTATACGCATTTTACTAGAATTTCTTCTTCTTTTAGGAAAGTTGATCACTCTTAATGGTCAGATCTGCCTAGGTAGAAAAATCATTATGTAAAATTTTTTTCCTTTCAAAAGATGATTCGGTTCGAAGGTACATGTAAGGTAAAAAAACTTTTTGTTATTCCATTGTTCATTGTCAAAATTTTGTTTTACAAAGTCCAAGTACAATCCATCTCGATCACGATCCACATGATCCATAACTCTCTTGGCTTTTAGAATCTTTCCATGGCCGAACCACCAACATCTGTGGCCTCGGTAGGCCAAAGTCGGACATCATTTGTGAGTGGATAATAGGTACTCAATGTTTCTGTTAAAAATTCTTTCATGTTCTTCCCTAATGTCGACCGCTTCATCGCCCACTTTATGATCGTGATAAGTTGAAGGTTCGTCAACACATGATTTGAATCAATCGCAAATAAAATTTGTTCTTGTATTTCAAACGGAAGTCTTGTGAATTCCAATTTTTTTCGAGGTGAATCGGGTGTCGAGTGCATCAGTAATATCGGGCCTGAGTTTCCGGGAAATGGAGGCAACTGTTGTTTTACGCTGACATTCAACATGATTCTAGCAGCTATCTCGATTCTACAGGCGACATTATATTTCTCTCGTTGAAGAAAATGATTCCTGGTCAACGATTGATGAATCGAATTACCAATTGTCTCCCATTCGGTAAAATTGTAATCCAGTTGTATTCCCTTGAGACTTGTGTTCTTCTCCAGCGCTTGAGCAAGTTCCAAATGCCCGTCGACTCCCATCTCACTATTCCTGTGCAACGAAAGATTTTGCAATCCGTCGTTATCCTTCAATGCTTTGCTTATTGCTCGAGTGCCGTCCAGCCCAATATTACAATGTGAGAGGATAATTGATTCTAGTGTTTTGTTCTTGTGGATCCCTGAGAAAAGGGCCACGCATCCTTCATTGCCCACGTTATTGTTGGTGAGATTGAGGGCACGCGGGACGACATGACTCTCCAATAATTTGCCCATCGATTCAATGCCTTCGATGCTGCCATCCTTGTTGATATTGTTATATTCCAAATCTAGATAAGTCATTGTGGTGTTCGACAATAGTGCTTTGCTAAGGTATTTCAGTCCTTGGTCACCGATGTTATTCCGCGGTAGATAGAGGTGTGTGAGTGTCTTGTTTGTCTTCAAAGCTTCCGACACCGACTTTGCACCTTCCGACGCGAGATTATTGACGTCAAGACTCAGGCTAACCAGGGAGGAGTTGACCTTGAGCGCGTTCGAAATCTCCTTGATGCCAGCCAATTGAAGATTGTTGCTACCCAGGTGGATATGCTTGATGGTGTTGTTAACTTTTAGCATACTTGCTATGTAACAACCACCTTGCACGTCCAACCTGTTTGACTCGAGACTCAAGCGCTCAATGGTGGTATTTTCCTCCAACGCCTTGGAGAGATGCTTCGCACCATCACTTCCAATACGATTGAAGGACACGTAAAGTTCCTTGATGGTTTTATTCTTTTTCAACAGCTTTCCCAACCATTTAGCCTCCGTATCGGTTATAAGGTTGTACGATAGGTCAAGTACTTTCACGTTGGTGTTTTTTCGCAGAGCTTTCAACAAGGTTTTTAGTGGGGTGCCGGCCAAATGGTTTCTCGATAATTTTAGTGTTTTAACTATGACGTCGGATTTAAGTAGTTTGGCCAGAAACTTGCATTCGTGGTGTGACAGATTTAGGTATTCGTAATTCAATGTTTCGAAAGCTCGGGTAGCCGTGCCCTTACAAGATTTCAATAGATCGTCAAAATCTTTTTCGGTCACCTTGTGGAAATGACCTCTTTGAACATGTCCTTGGGTCTGTTTCACCCGTTGAAAAGATGCCACTATCCGATGACCTTCATTAGTGAGAAAGCGATCAAGTGAAAGGGGGGCACCGTAACTTTTTGCTGTCGAATGTTTCTTGCTCGAGGATGAAGTTTCATTAAGAGATTTGGAACGTGGCAGTCCTAAAGAGCTTATTGATACTTTTTTAAACATTTTGTGAGCGGAAGAAAGTTGTCGTTGACTTGTTCCCTTTTCTTTTTTTTCTTTCTACAATGAAAAAAAAAAATCCAATAGTTTAACGAATCAGGAGTTCGAGGAGAAATGTAAAAAAAAATAAGAATAAAAAAAAAATCGGTTGTCTTCAAGTTGCGTGAAATAAAAAAATAATTTTAAGAGGCGGTGTAATAATACCTACAACCGTGTTTTTTTTTTTGGTTGTGCAAGTATTAATGAACAGTTCTAAAATTTGAAATTGTGCTCTAGCTTTTAGAAAAATCTTTTATAAATACAGTACATTGAAAGGAGAACGGGATTAAGGATGGGTAGAGAGCTGAAGAAGGAAAAGGAGAAGTAAATGAATGGGTAGCGTGATTTTCTATTTTTGAACCTTTAAAAAAAAAAGGGAAAAAAAAAAATAAAAAATAAAGAACAAGGAGAGTTCAGAGCGCAAAAAAAAAAAAAAAAACTGGCTCGTACATGGCCGTAAATATCGTTGTTTTGGAGTGATACAAATTTCAAGTACATACAGTACATGTAGTCAATGGCCCTAAACAATACACATATAAATTATTATAAATGATGGGCTTATGTGTATCGTAACGCGTGCACTTTCCAAACCTGATTGCGGATTCACCCCTTCCTAAAAAAAACTTTTTCTAACGTTAATATTAAGTAACTAAAATGGTACATGCATGTGTATATTAAAGAAAACCCCGTTAAAAGGTTGGAATTTTTGGAGGGAAAATTTTAATCAGTGGGATGGTAGAATGATATCATCCGCGTAGGACAACATAGCTAAAGTTTAATAAGCAGATACACCAATCAAGGTTCTCCGTGTGTAACCAATGTACCAGTTATATAAGACGGAGTTCGGTGGTGAAAAGAATTTTCCCTTAAGCGCGATTCTACCTAACCTGTGCGAGTTTACGTATTTGCTAAACTGTCACCCTTGCATTGTTCCGATTTTAAATTTAAATGAATGATGTACGAACAATCGACCGCCAGTTAGAATTCTTCTTTTGGCACGTACCTGTTTCTAAATTTAGTCGCTTGCGAAGGTGCCGCGGCTTCTAGAAATGCCTTTTACCCGTCACCTGATCTACCGAACTCCTAACCAACTATGTTGTATGATGCTTGTACATCCAAACTTCTTTCTCAATATGTATATATTACATCTGTTCTTGCATATGATATGTAGAAAAGTGGCTGATGTAGAATGTGATAGGACCGACCTTTTATTCTCCCGTCTATGGGGAGGAAGGGTTATATTTTTAGAGGTCGAATGAGTTTTTTTTTAGAACGCACGAAACAACCTTCACAAACCCTTATTGTTTTGTTTTCATTATTCATTGTGTCATTCTTTGATTGATTTGCACACAGAATGTGCAACCGTACATCGATCGAAAAAGAAAAGAATATATGGTTAGCGGCGAAAAAAAAAAAAAAACCTTCTTTGGTCCATCCTTTGAAATTTGTTGGATGACTTAGCAATGCAAACAAATTAATACGTTTAGTGCGGAGTGAAAGAATTAGCGTACATGAAATTTCAAAATTATTGGACGTCAATGCATGAGAAAGTTCTCAGCCCTTTTATCCCTTTTTAAGACCTGGAACATTGGCAATCTCTTGTAGAACGTCGTCACATGATTTCCTAGAACTTCGAAATCTAACCAATCTCAAAGGTCACCGTTGATCACACGAAATAAGGCACCGAAAATCTCGCCGCAAGATCCCAAACTCTAAGGTGTCGGTCAACCTCTCATGGGAATGATGTTCTTTTTTAACTGGTAGAACGAAGGACCGATCGGATCAGATCCAGTTCGCTGCGGTAATCATGTCTGTCGTCAAAAGAAAGTTTATCCATTTTCGGTATTCGACGTCGATCTTTGGAAAGAAATAAAATTTCAAGCATGATTTCGTTAACGACGAGTTCAGAGATGATTCTTTTCTTCGCGTGCGATGTTAAGGCAACGTGATTAAAAGGACTTTTATTAATAAAAATTATTGATATTGTATCATCAGAATCAAATTCCATGTGTGTGCGACAATATAATTCTGCTTCTCGAAATTCTAAAGGATGAATGTCATGAATTGAGCATGTCAAGATGACTTGAGTCCTTTCGGAACATCCTGGGAAGATGCCAAACAAGTACATGCAGACTCACAATTGTTAAACTTGACGGATGAGAATAGCGTGTTATGTGGTATGTTACTATGTTACGTATTATTGTGCTGCGCCAAGAACAAATGTGATCTTCCGAGTAACATAATACAAAACATTCTGCATTTAAACACGTTGATGCATTCTATGCACATCAATTTTCTCTTTTTTTTTTATTTGCTCATAACTGATACAATCAATTCTTAAGTAACAGAAGACTCTTGGATGAATAATTTAGTCACAAAAGATATTTTTCAAAAAGAAAATATCATCTTATATCAATCTACCGATTTTGATTTTGTTGAAGACAATGTCTGCAGGGCCACGATAAAAAGTTTAAAGAAGGAAGTGGTTTTCATACCCATTTTTCTGACCGCCGCATTCACTCTAGAAATTTTTATAAACGAAGTGAGTGAACGAGTGTGTCTCTCGCATTCCTTCCTATCACGCGAATCTAATGCCTCCCCAAATTCTTCTTCATTCAAAAGATTAAGAAATACCAAAAACTGCAAGCTCATGATAACATTCTGAATTTATACGGTGTCGTCGAACGAGGTAACGATTCAAGCATTCGCAATGTGTTTTTTTTTTTTTTTTTTGAGATCCTTCCTGATTTCCATCGGACATTTTTTTTCAAAGGATGTCCGAAGAGCTACTCGCTCGTTCTGGAGTACCCCAATGGTGGCTCCCTTCAGCAGTATCTGAGGGTAAATTTCAACAGAATGAATTGGAACATCAAGATTACATTTGCAAAGCAGATCGCAACCGTATTAACGTTTTTGCATGCAAACGATTACTTCCCTGGAAACTTGGTAATTACCATAGTAACCCTCAATTCTATCGAACTTGGAATGGTTCTCACGGAGTCTGTATACATATGATTATTTTTTCTTTATCCAATTAGACCTCTGAGGATATTTTTGTTCACAACGAGAACATCAGGGTATGTAACTCGAGATTGACTGGGAAATCCGTCAATTCACTCGAAAAGATCCACGGGGCGTTCCAATACACGGATTCTCAGTATTTAAAAATTCAAGATATCATCATGCATCAGAAAAGTTCCGACATTTATGGTTTTGGGGTTCTCTTGTTCGAAATCGCAAGTGGAAAAAGACCGCTTAAAATAGAATCTCCATTCAGGGTCGATTTATTAGAAGCTGCCATAAGGCGCGATCGAGGAAACGTTGATTCCGAGGCACTGCGCGAATATCTAAGAATACACGCAGGTACTCTTTACCGTCTTGATCGCTCCAAGATTTGCATAACAAAGCATGTCCATCTTTATTTATCTCCATCGTGAATAATAGATTGCTGTCAACGTGATGCAAGTCTTCGTCCAAGCATCGTACAGGTCGCAAAAGACTTGGAAAAGATTTGTGTTAATGACATAGAATGTGATGGGGGTCAATCAAAATTATCTATGGAATCGCGGTCACCTTTCAATAGGTCAACACCTGAGATGGACATTTTCATAAAACATTTATTTGACTTCTTCTCCGAACAATTTAACATGCAAAACTTCATAATATCCCCCAAATTGGTTAAAAAGTATATCAAGGATTTTAACAGGAACCCCGTTAGAATATTTCGTAGCTTAATTAGTCATCACCAGAAATCTTGTTTCACCAGCATGATCGGTTTCTTTTATGAAAACGGGATCGGAACAATTCGCGACTATCAGATGGCATTTGAATTCTATTCGGATGCCGCATCCGGGTCAGTCGACGTCGAGAAAACGAATTCCATACCCTTTCCATTTACCGAGATATACGAGACCAACAGGTCAATAGGGCAGTTGTGTCTGGCAAATCTTTATTTAGATGGAAAGGGAATAGAACAAGATCAAAAAAAGTCCTTCCAAATGATGTCAAAAGCTGCTGACGGAGGCTCGAGTAGAGCATTGAATTGCATGGCATTTTGTTATGATAATGGTCACGGACGGGAGAAAGACGAAGACAGTGCATTTCGGCTATACTTAAAATCTGCTGAACAAGGAAATCTCTTGGCACAGTGTAACCTAGGCATCTGTTACCAAGAAGGGATCGGAACACTAATAAATGAGGTCAAAGGTTTCCAGCTGCACCTGAAATCTTTCATCTCTGGAAGCATCACGGCTACGTACCGCATTGGTGATTGTTATTTTGACGGGAGGGGTACTCTTAAAAATAGGAGGATGGCATTCGAATGGTATCTGACTTCTTCGGAAGATGATTACAACATGGCCCAAAGTGACGCCGGATATTGTTATGGCACTGGAACGGGAACCCTGATTAATCAAAGGAAGGCATTTGAATATTACCTGAAAGCCGCTCGCAACGGAGACACGGAAAGTCAACGTTTAGTTGGCATTCGTTACTTGCGCGGAATTGGCGTGAAGAAAGATGTTGTCAAGTCAATATATTGGTTGAATTTATCCAAGGAGAACGGTGATTATAGATCAGACAGTTATCTGGAGGCGATACTTGATTCGATACTTTAGTCAGAGTAACACATGAAATCTCGAGACCAATGTGATAGGAAAACTTTTTTCTTTTCTTGTGACGTTCACAAAAATGCATTCGAGTAACGAAGAGAAAACGTTCACTGAAAGAGAGCACGCATAAGATGCATGTAGGGTATAGAATGTATAATACAATTTTATTTTTTATTTCGCGGAACAACGCGAGAGAAATAAAAATATTTGCAAAAATGTTTGTCTTAATTTATGTTAGATTTTCTTCCAAATGTTTTTTTTTCCTTTTGATTCCAGATTACACCAGAAAAAAAATGTTTCTATCAAGTAAATTACGTTTTCTAAATTATCTATCACACTTCATGCTCAATGATATCTTCATCCTCCCAATCCCTTTTCCCAGATATTGCGGTGACCTTGGTTCCTACTAAATCCTTGACCCATTGCAATTGCCTCATCGTTCTCCTACGATGCAATCTATTTATCCTTCTTTCGTCAACTTCAACATCGTAGGTTTCCCCACTTGGAATACATCTTTCCTCAACTTCAAGATTCCCATCTTCATCACCATGGACGTCAACAAACGGGTTTTGATATAGTACGCTAGCATTCACCCCTGTTAAACTACGCTTTATATCTTCCTCATGTGAGATTGATAGTGCAGGTCGGAAGTAAAGCTTCAATCGCAAGTATCCTTCGACTTGTCCTTTGACTTTAAAGTCTGACGGTTCCGGCAAGCCACTATCATCTCCATCTTCTGCTTCATCATCATCATCTTCAGAGATACTCTCATTATTTGAGGCCTGTAGTGTAGCATATGATGAACTAGCTTGTTCATTTTCATCAATCTCAATGGGCTCAGAAAAGATTGGATGGTTGATTTTTGAATCATCAAAGATGTTGAAAGTTGTCTGCCCGGCATCACCATTGCCCAAGATGTTTCGTTTGCCTTGAGCATCGTCAGGTGCGTTTCCTTCATGTGGTTCTGACAGTCTATATTCTTGTGAACCATTATCAGGGCACCGGATGGTAGTTTCCGAATGACAAAGAGATGACAATGTAGAACTTTGAGTAGTATTTCTTTTACGCCCACTTTTTAATGGTATAGTGATTTCCGTCTCGTTGCAATCAATTAACCTTCTTAGCCAGAATGTCGAGGTTCCGATAGTATAAACTATTCCAAGTAGACCTCGTTGTTTCAAGCTGATAATAAGGGCAGTTCTGTGGCGTTTGAGTACTCCGAACTGAATACGTTCTCCGGTGGAAGGGTCAAGCCAGGTCGGTGGATTTGAATTTGAAATAACGGTTGTCTCTCCGAACTCTGCTCCACTCAATGTGAAGGTCAAGAACATATTGCAATCTAGGCGAGAAAATCTACATCAGCATGATTCAGCGATGCAAAAAAAAAGTAGCAATAATAAATAGAATAAACTTGCTTGCTAGAGCCGGATTCAAATTCATGGCAGTTACGGAATGAATGATCAAAGTACCAATATCATACCCCCTTTCATGAGGTTTCAATCTTATAGATATAGGCTTGTATAAAAAGCTCAACCGAACTTTTCCACAACCAACTCCGTGACGTAATGGATACCACTTCGTGACCTTCTTCTATAATTCATGTAATATAGAATATCAGCGTAATTCACGTGGTAGGTCTTACTAATGTGTACATAGATCACAAAAATTACCTTTTCCCTCTTTTCGAAAAGATCCTTAAGCGGTATTGTAACCATTCCGATGACTGGGTCGTCTAATAGAAGGGAAAAGTTAGACGAGTCAAAAGAGATTATCTAGAGATCCCGTAACGAGAATGCTAGCTTACATTCAAGGTCTTTGTGATCCTTAATGATCACCCTAACGATGGCGGTTTGCCAATCGCGGACAAAATGTTCGGTCGATGCATTCCAGAATGGCGCGACGCTAAATGACAATCGAGTTCACGCAAGAGTTTCTAAGAATGAGGAAACTCCATTAAAAAAAAAAACAAAAAACGCGACATACTTATTCAACTTTGTCCTCGTCCGATATACTAAAAAATGATATGAAGTATTTAAAAAATAAGATTATCACAAATTCAAGTTGATTATTACATATAACATACCACAACGGTCATTCAAATATACGATCCCATACGGATTTGGATACTGCGCATTACTATGATTACCCGGCATCACTACATCGGATCTTTTGTTATATGGAGCAGCGGTAATTTGCAGGCTCATGGCCTGGTGAATCTTAAGACCAAGGATTCCAGCTGAGATCGAATTAAAAATCAGGACACTGAATTATGAAAAATATGAAAAATGCCGTTAGCAAGAAAGATACTCACATAACTGATCAGGGGAAGGTTCAACGCCATTAGGCAATTTAGGATAATAGGTGAGCCGAAAACGCAATTTTCCACGCACTTCGCCATCATTGGGCTTCAAATGAAGATCTACCCATCTAAAAATGATACAAATATTAGTTTTATTTTCGACAATTAGATGTAATGATCAAAGGACCTCAGCGTACCCATCGAAAATTTTCCTTTTTTGCTTTCCATCTCCGATGGCATCTTTGATATCAATCCAAGCAGCTCCTATAGGGTCATCAGGAGTGAACCGATCCCAATCCATTACTTTTAATTTGAATTTGATATGTTCATCAACGATATCAAGTTCTGGTATTTTGTGGAAAAATGTTTCGGACCAAATTGGGTTCGCACAATTTTCTATGACACGGGTTGATACGTTTGGGTGCATGTATGGTGAAGGATCGAGTGACATCAGTACGTACGGATCGTTATCTCCTATTTTCAAGTACAAATAAGGTAAGGAAATAAGGACTGGTGATTGCGGTTTGAAAGCAATAATAATAACGTGATGATACCCGAAACATCCATTTTTGCCAAATCCTTTGCTTGGATCACATCAACTTTAACAATACCAATAGCCTGAGTGTCTATAAGGGTGACAATAAAAGCATTTGAATATGAATAAAATATCATAAAGGAACCAACAACCGTCGAGAAAATGTACCATGTAAAAGATCATCTCCCGTTAGCAATTCTGCTAGGTCTACAGTCACAAATTTTGGATATGTGAAACCTTCCAACACCATATGCACAGTGTTACGTATGAATTGTTTTATGATAGGGAACTGGAATCAAATGCATACATGTCAGCAAAGAATTCTGAATTTCGGAAGAGAGGAAAGTCGACAAAAACATAAATACCTGAGCCACGTTCATCGGAATTAAAGGCATAATACTCGTCTCGTAAGTAGGAAAGTTTATAAAACTAAACTTTCCGGTGGAAACGAATGGCGACGATCCAGTAATCTTTATTTCAAAATGAATCGAGGCCACAAATCCAATAAATTCAACTACAAAGTTATTGGAAAGAAATTCAGTAAAGTACCACCGTAAATAACTACGAAACATGTTAATTTGTTTAATAGGTAAAAAAAAAAGAGACTCGACATTACCTTTGATTGGAATAATCGCCGATATCCCAGTTTTAATCCACGCAAGAATGTGCGGTGGTGCATCTTGAGGAGTTCCGGTTGAAGATCTAGCGCGAAAGGAAATAGTTGCCTCGCCGATCTTTAGAAAGAAAAAACAATTAGTAGGGAACCAGGTCGTACCTTGATAGAAAAATCCGTAACTCTTACCACCACATCATCGTCATCATCATTTTCGCGTCTCGGTAAGATTTTTATACTTTTGAACGCGGTATAGTACACGAATTAATGATTGAAAACTTTGGCGCGAATTTTTTTAAAAAAACAATAACTTTTCATACTTTTCTATGCGTGGAGCTATAAGTCCAATTTCAAACGATTCAATATAAGCTGTGCTCTATTATTAATTTAAAGGAACCGATTTTAAAATACGGCGCGTATAGTATAAAACAGGTGAAAGCACTATATTAACCCATATATACCACAAATTTTGGTAAGCTGCGAGACATTGTATCCTCAATCGTATCGCGCAAGCCAGTCAATAATGATGGATCAAATGTTCTCCATATTTGTTGAAGCAAATAATTCAACCTGTTTTGGTAAAAAAAAAAAAAAAATGATTCGCAAAAAAATGCTAAGCAAATTTGTATGACGGATAAAGATACTCGCCATTCAACCGTCTCGCCCTTGTCTCTCTTTAGCTTTATATAATATGTGAATCGTGATTATTACATCCATCAAATCGGATAAATATTTAGAGAATAAGTAAGCACACATTCCAAGATTACCTGATCCGATGCCATTTCCCTTTTAACCTCCCAACGAACCCTCTCGGTTTGATCTTGAATCATGTTCATGTACCAGACCACGGATTGGTATAACACAAGGATGACCCATATGAAAGCGAATCCAAAGTAACCCATAATATATGAACTGATCGATAGCGTACAAATAAACATATGCAATTCATAATTGAAACGTTGATATTTTAAAGTTTCCTTATCATCTTGTCTTTCCTCTTTAGACACCGGGTTTTTGTCCATATGTCGACAACTACTAATTGTGTTTGACCTTAAAAAAGATTTGCGTAATTTTCTCTCAGTCGGACCAAATATACTATAACTCGAAGAGCTGTCGTCGTTCTCATCAAGTTCTGGGTCACAAAAATCAAAATCAGGTTCTACAAGTGTCCTTTCAGAATCCGAACGAGTTTTAAATTTATCTA